AGAAAGAAAGAAAGAAAGAAAGAAAGAAAGAAAGAAAGAAAGAAAGAGCTTCCATCTCTTCTATAGCCAATCCTGTTCTGAAGAAATATTCTACATATCCTGTGATGATTCCACAAACAGCTGTAATCATCATTTGTTTCTTTGGGTGCAGACATATGAGTGTGTGTATCTGTTCCCACTTCTACAGCTATGGGTGTTTGTTTTGCTGAGTGGGTCATTAGCCAAAACTCCAGACCTCAATATACTTACAGGATTCTTTGGTGGGCAGATTTCAAAGTTTGGCTCCCTTTCTCTTCCCTTCATCTTATGCAGGGAGAACATCCTGGTTCTGGACATTTTCTTTGAAGCTTTGAACTATGAAACAATTGAGCAGAAGAAAGCATATGAAGTAGCTGGACTTCTGGGTGAGATCACTTTTTTTCTGATTGCCAGTTGGGGCAGATCCTGTAAATGCCAGGCTTCCAGGGCAGGGGGGGACCTTTGGGTAATGCAAAATGTCCACGCTTCAGTGTAATGCAAAATGTCCACGCTTCCCCTTTCCCCTCAGTGTGGGTTGGCATAACTGGGGATTACCCAGACATGGAAATTATTCCACTTAAGGAAAAGACCTCATATATGTCTTCCTGTCTCTCCCATGCAGGTGACATTGGGGGACAGATGGGGCTGTTTATTGGAGCCAGTTTACTGACTGTGCTTGAGCTTTTTGACTATGCCTATGAGGTGAGTTTTGGTCTCTGTTAACATGAGGGAAAGGAATACAACTTATGGCTTATAAAGAGGTAACCAATAAACATATTGTCAACTTGTAAAACATTTCTATGCCTGTTTCCAAGTTGCCAGGAGAAAGAGGGGGAAAGAACTGAAGGAGCATATGGCAAATAAAATCAGAAGCACATTCCAAGCTTATTTCACAAAGATTGTAACTTAGGCAACCGGATGTTCTACCCACAAAAATCCTTTATTGGAGAATGTGGGTGATGACACCTAGCCCAGGAATGTGTTTCGTTGGTGATAGGTGGTTGTAAATTATGTGTCACAGAGTCGGTTTCATACAGGTCATGCCGTCAATGTTGCTCCTAATAAATCTTTTGAAGTTTTTTTAAGCTTGGCTCGAGACTTATGATTTAATTAGGGCGATCGCCGGAATCCTGACACTGTAATTCAGTTCTGAAGCAAATTTTTAGTACTCTTCAGTTAAGAAAAAGGTTTTAAGTGTTAGCAATAAACTGAGTCAATAGGAAAGTAATTCTTCATCATACTTCACTGAAATACACCATTTTCAGAATTTCGCTTCCATGTAGGGGTCACCTTAGGCTCATTTCAATGTGTAATTAGTGTTACAGTTCAATCATATGGAATTTTATTCACTGACGTACTATGTGTACATAAGAATTCTAAATAATCCCATTAATAGTTCCCAATGATGAACATTTCCTTTTGTTCTATCTCTAGGTTATTAAGTTCCACCTCTGTCGCCGTGACAAGTGTGAGAAGAAACACAAAGGGAATAACAGTGACAAGGGTGTTGCCCTGAGCCTGGATGATGTGAAGCGCCATGTAAGTGTCTACACCTCATAACAACTCTCGTCATCTGTCAAGCGGATGGCCTGGCTACACTCTCAATGATCATGGAGTTTGTATCATTTTAATTATGCCAAACTCTCTCAGCCAATAAAGAATCCACAGTTTAGTGAAGCAGTTGAGATTTCTGCATTAGGAATCCTGACCATAACTATTGCCCTCTGGTAGAATTATACTTCCTATAATACCATACAACAAGGAATCCAGTTTTATTTATTTATATCTACAATATTAATTAAATATTAGGTTAACTTTGCTAGGCCCCTAAATCTCAGGGTACCTTACAAATAAATTCAGTAAATGACCAGAAGCCATTTGAAAGCTCCATTATCAGTACAGCTATTCTATACCTGTCCATGCTCCTTTGTGGTGGCTTACCATGGCTAAGGATTCCTCCCCATCATTTTCTACTCGGCCCCTTAACTGTTTACCCAATCACTTTGAAACCTAGCAACAACCATTTTCTTCACTTCATCTAGCACATATTTATTTTTGGTAGGACAAATCAGTCTTTAAGAGCTAGTATAGCATGCCAAAAATACAACGGTTTAGCGGGTTGTATTCTAGCTGTGTTGCTACCCCAGGGCCTGACCGAAGAGCCAGAGTGTTACAGCTTTACAAAGTCTCAAAAGAGTTGGAACAATGTGGACCTCAGGTGGAATGCAGCCTCCAATAGATTTCCTGGGTCATACAAGATAATATTAGCAATAGCAATTAGACGTATATGCTACTTCACAGTGCTTTATAGCCCTCTCTAAGCGGTTTACGAAGTCAGCATATTGCCCCAACAATCTGGGTCCTGATTTTACTGACCTCGGAAGGATGGAAGGCTGAGTCAACCTTGAGCCAGTTAGAATTGAACTCCCAGCAGTGGGCAGAGTTAGCCTGCAATACTGCATTCTAACCACTGCACCACCACAGCTCTTGGTGACACTGGTACACGAGTATCCAAAGCCTTTATTACCTTTCTCTATAAAATTTGAGGCAGGCTACTAATATGGTTCATGGGAATTTACATCCTCCTCCTCTAAGAGGAGGAGTACTGCAACCTCTCCTATAATGTGCACTGCAAGACTTGAAGTCTTCTTGCAATATCAGATTTCCAACTGTATGACGTGCTAGTCGTGTACAGTTTCTAACTAGTCATAACGACAAGATGGCAGGATGAAAGGATTTTTACTCTTTCATCCTGCCATCTTGTCATCATGACTAGCACCAACGAATTGTGCCAAGTGGCACAAAAACTTCCAATGACGGGGCAGTGACGATTTCTAGTTCGTGTAGGAGCACTGGCAGACACAGGAAGCTACTGTATCTGCATCAAAGCATCTTATCTCCTTGAGCTACTTGAATGAAACAAGACCAGTCTCTCAAGGTCTTCTATGACAGATGATGAGGAATACCTAAGGAGATGCCTTTTAGTCCAAGTCTGATTACGTTCCAGAAGTTCAGCTGTTTTTTTTTCTATAATTCCTAAACCATCTCCCCTTCCATGGCATGGAATCTCTTGAACCCACAAATCTTGGACCTAGGGTCCCATTTATCAGTGTTTCTTGTTTACCAGGCTACTTTCATGTCCATTCTGTTTACGCTCCTTTTTGCTTTTCCTCTCCACCTTTCCAGAATCCATGTGAGAGTATCCGAGGCCATCCAGCAGGCATGACATACGCAGCCAACATCCTACCTCACCACCCAGCCCGAGGAACTTTTGAGGATTTTACCTGTTAACTGACAACTGGATGTACAACTAACACTACCAAAGGGAAGGGGCCATGCTGAGCAGCTTTGGCCCAGCCCGTGGACCTGCCAACCTTTTGCAGGGCCTCTATCTCAGACTACTGGGGAGGCAGCAGAATCCAGCCTCTCCTCATCCATCCGCCCCAGGCCAATGCAGCGATACGCACATGGAGCCAGCTGGACAGAGGTGAGGCTCAGCTGCCAGATCCACTCCAGTTTCTGCTCGTTCCAATGACGCCCTTGAACTTTAAACGTAACAGAAGTGCTGCTGGAAGAATCCTCTCCCCACCCCCCACCCCGCAGTATCCAATGGACGTGAGGGCACAGCCTTCCCTGGTCCACAAACACTGAAGTCTTAACTGTGTGTCTCTCCTTCTGTATCTGTCATGCTCCCTAACCACAGCAAGCCTTGTGTGGCAGTGGTCATTGTGTGCAAAGCCCTCTCTCTCTCTCTCTCTCTCTCTTTTAATCCGAATGCCAAGAAGAACCTACAGGAACAGGTAGAGCCAGACTGCTTCTGGGGTATTCTGTTTGTAGAGGCTACTTATCTATCAAAAGGAAGTGCTGCTTCAGTTCTCTTCCCCTCTCCCTTCCGACTGTGCGCTGTGGGAAGGCCAACAGTCATAGCCTTCCCTGGAGCAAGACTGCAACTGAACTGAGAGAGCCACTTCCATAGGATGTGCCATCATCTGCTCATCTCATCCAACTGGCAGCTTCTCATTTGACCTGGCCTGGACGCTGTTCTTCTTTGAGCCCTGGCCTATTCCATCCATCAATCCCAGTCCTCCCATCAGAAAGGCAGGTAGCAAAGCTGTTCCAAAGGTTACAACATTCACGTGATGAACTGCCTGGGCCCCTTCTGTGCAGGTTATTAGGAAAGATGTGACAATTCTTAAGCAGTGAGGTTCAGAGACAAGTCTGCCATTTCACAGAATTCTCCGTAATGTACAAACGAGATCGTTTCCAAAGAAGTTATGCTTCAGGGTCCGTAGCTGCTAATGGGAGAAGAAAGCAATGCACCTGTCTCTTGATTTGGGCTTCCCTCTTTATTTCCCATGGTAACATGGCAACTCCTAGGATACTCCTGCAGGCAGAAATAATGCGCTAAGATTACTTTGGCTGGCAGAAGCTTAGCGCTCGCTTTAGCAAGAAAGACCAGAGGGTCCTTTTAGGGCAATGGTAAGGATAGCTTGCTTTAGTACAGTGTGGAAATGATATTTTAAGAGCAGAAATAGCCCCTTATCACCATCAGCCAAGATTTCCTAGGTAAGAATTAAGATGCCACTCTGAGACCTACACAGAGGGTCTCCAGGCAAAATGCATACTAATGATGCAAGGCATTTCCTTATTATGCATCATCAGCGTACCGGCAAAATAAAAGAAGTTATGGGAAGAATTTCTCCGGAATGTATTGTCAAGTCAAACTCCCTGTTTTCTCCTAAAGAAACTTCCAAGTTCTATTTTATAACAGTCACTATTACAACCCAGTCAACTAGTTAAGTGTTTCAGCTATTTAGTCATGATACCAACAGTCAAGCCCAAATGAATGGTTTGCATTGGGAAGGAGCATTTGCAGGCTGGGAATGATGGTGGGCATTCTAGTAAAGCCATGGGTCTCAGATGGTGGCATGAGTTTCCTCTTTGTAGCAATTGCTTTTGTCTTAAGTCTCCTATACAACCTGTTCATAGTGCCTGATACTTCTCCACCTGAAAAAGGCAGAGACATCAGAATGGAGGTTTGATTCCCCCACCCCACAATTCCTGAATAGGCACCATTTCAATCCATATCAAGAAGAGCCTGGATGTGTGGTCCTGTGATGGTAGGCCGCACAGCCTACTCAAGAGACTGACACCACCATCAGTGAAGGGTTGTCTAACACTTGCTTCTTTAAAAATGAACTGACATGACCTTGTCTTGTAAGTGTTCCACTTACTGTATTCCGAGCCATCCTGGTGAAAAGCCTTTCAGAATTTTATAATAGGCTACAGTTTGATAAGAATGAGAATCAGAAACAGCAGTGACTTCCCTCACCATAACCTTTAAAATTTGCTTCTGGGAACGATGTGGTTAATATACTTTCTTCTCCACTGTTGTTAATTCAGCCATTCTCCAAGGAGCCCAAATCAACAGAGCTGTCCAAACTGTGATAAACACCCACCGGAATCTGGACAGGCTAAATCTGGGGGGAAATCTTTTTTTAAAAAAAATCAAGAAAAGTAAGCCTGGATTATCTGGGATCATCTGTACTGATGTACTGATGCATGTTCAGCCTTGCTAAGTAGCAGGAGATAAGGTCTACACTTTCTCTGTGCTTCATGAGTTTACAAGTATAAAGAGAAATGGGAAACAAATGACTGTTTGATTACATTAAGGGAATTAATTCCAAGAACTGAGGAAGAAATAAGCTCCTGTGTATGTCCAGGTGTCCATTCACACCACCAAAGGATCTTGATGGTATTTGGACTTCCCACCCTCTCTGCCACATAAACAAACTGTATTTAAACTGCCTCTAAGACTCAAAGCTGCCAGATGGGGAGAAGCCCATGGTGACTGGGTTTGCCACCCCCACTTTTAGAGGAACTCATTCCCCTTTCAGCCTGGGTCACACACATAGCATTTAGTGCCTGCCCTAGTCTTTGGCACATCCAGACTCCTTTTTTTAATACGATTAACTTAGACCTGTTTCATGTGCAACACCCAGGGCCAAAGTTCTCCTTATCTTTAAGAGCTTTTGTGATACAACTGCTCTTTTTTTAAGCTTTATTTTACTTGGATCCTGATCATTCCAGAATTGAATGTATTTGTTCATTGGGTGGGCTGTTGTGTAACAGATTTCCCAAAGATATTATAATCTGCCACAGCCAATTTTTCCCCCACAAAACTTTCTAAAGTGTTCCTTGCCCAAAAGCATTTTGTTTATTCTGCAGTTTTTATTGGCTTCATTGTATTTTACTGCTTGAAAACTTTTGAAGATAGGGCTTACATTTTGACCTTCTGTCTCCCATTTGTCTATCCATTTTTACTATTTCATGCTCATGTTATATTTCTTATATATAAAATATGATTATATACAGTATATACATATATATATACACACAGACACACAGACACGTGTGTATATGTATATATACATATACACACTCACATACCCGCACATATATGTCATGTCTATGTATATATCCGTTCAGTAGCATCAAAAGCCTTGATATTGTGCCATTATAACTTTTTTCCAAACTACCAATCTCTGAATGCCTTCAAATGTATAAAATGTTGAATTCTCTCTGGTATATGTACTATGTACACATTTTCATAGGAAGCACAACAAGAAGAAAAACGCATTGTATATCAAAACTTGCTCCTCTAACAATGATATAAAGGACAAAACCAAGCCCTGGAGACTCAGCCTTTTCGTCTTTCACTTTTCTTCAATCTTTCTTTCTTTTCTCTCTCTCTCTCTCTCTCTCTCTCTCTCTCTCTTTCTTCATATTTTGATATCTTCCAACATAGGAACATCTTAGAAGAGAGATGAAAAAGTCAAGATGACCCCAGCAACTGTGCAATCAAATTCCTATCCTTTTTTTGTGTAGCACATACAACATAACTAAAAAAGGAAGGGCTCTCTCTGATTGTCACAGTTGTGGCTGACATTGTGACTTCTCCACCCCAGCAGATAACCCTGCTGTGACAGCACCATACTAATTTAAGGTGGTAAGATCAACAAGCATCAACAAGCAAAACCAAAATAATAGTAGTTTTTTTAAAGGCAACAATTTTGGTCAAAATATGTAATGCTGAAACTCTCCAGCAACAAAGCAGAATAACCTTCATTCAAATGGTACTAGGTAAGTTTTTCAAAAAAAAAAAGTTTGATTAGTTTATGTACCATGCTCAACTACTTTAACCACGTTTACTGAATACATCAGAATTCATGCAACACAGACATTAATCATATTTTACAAATCAGAAACCATAATGGCTGCTCTCACAAAATGTAAAGCACAATATTGCTTAGTGTAATGTAGGAACATTGTCTCTCACTATGTATATTTGTGTGTGGATGCGTGAATAGATTTCAGTGTATAATATGTGGAATTACTTTAGATACATCTGAACAATGCCACCTCCATCTATATATGTTGTCGGTCAGACAAAAGAGTTATTTGGAATGCTTGATCACTCATTACTATTATTATTTCAGAGTCCTTGCTCACAGAATTACAAACACATAAACTGCAAAGCTGCACTATAGATGCATTGAGCTGGTTTCCTTTTTATAAGTATCATCATCTTAGAAAAGTTGGCAGAATATAAAAAAAATGAACGACATATTTAGGAAAACATCTGTCACTTTTTAAGAACAGTTGCACAAGTCATCAGCAAAATCTTTGAAACACAAATTAACCATCACATTTTAGCTTAAATGTGTTGGGCAAATCCAATCCAAGTCGTTAATTTATCATTCAGAAGATCATGTTATTCAGAAAACCACATTAAGTAAATTATAACTTTATGTATGTCCTGTGCATACAACCATAGGACTACATATTAATAATACCAATAGCAATTAGTACCAATATGGGAACGTGAATGGAATGAGATCATTTCACCCACATCTTGGAACACTTCATGGTGTCATCTGGTCATTGTGGAAAACAAAATGTTGTCCTGAATAAATCTTATTCAACATAGATTTTGTTATGTACCCTGTCGTTTTGGAAGTTGATGCTAATGTCATCCTTTTAGGAGACAGCAATATATTTTTATGACTGTCACTACACTACTGTAAGTGGAATATTTGTATGTTGCTGGCATAGCACCCATCTGCATAAAATTCACATTTAGACTGCCCAACAGTGGCAATTACCATTTATATATCAACTGATATCATTAATGACTTTGTCCTCTGAATCTTCATTGCAATTTGCCACTCAGAATTAATTGTCCCACTTGTGTTGATAGCATGGAAATAAGATGGCTGATTACAGCTACAAAACACACATAGGATAATGTAAGCAGGATCAGAACAGGGGAGGGAGATTTCCTTAACCTAATGCCATGTGCAGGTACTGAGCTATGCAGGCGGGGAATCTTAGGATTTGTTTCTCTCAACACCTATGACTAAAATAGTGACATGGATGTAATAAATAGCACATGGGTTCTTGAAGCTCCTCAAATTTTAATAGGTTGCCTGTAACAGCTAAAACCGGATACTCTTGAGTCTGCTGCCAATCTGAACTATTTGATGATGAGCTACCATTTGGCTCAGCCTATCTCATGTGATTACTGGTGTTCCTTGTGCGGTTTCAGAACCGTACCTCAAGTTTAGAATGATACCCCAAAGAAGCCAACTATTCTTACCATCCTTGGAGGCTGAATATGTAAACTATTAGGCTGTAGAGTTACAAATGGACAATGAGATAGATGATTACATGTGCAATCACTAACATTTTGATAAGGCGTGTCCTCAATACCTAGTGATTCTAGCCCGATCTTTTGCCCTTTTCATGCATAAGCTGTTCGTTCAAGTTGCACCTTTTTCTCTTCTCCAGTTATTAAGCTGCTTCCTCATTTGCTTAAAGGTTTTGCTTTTTCTGATCCTCCACTAAGAAAATGCAAGTCTAGGATTCTTCCTTTTTCATATTCCCAAAGCTATTCAGTTCCAAATTTGCTTGGGGGGGGGGTTCTATCCCGCTTATGACTTTTATATTATATGCTTATGCTGTTACACTTTGGGCCATCATTTTCAAAGCACTGATTTCTACTTTTCACTTGCTGCACGTTTGAGCAAAATAAAATAACCTAGCAGTGCTGTCCTATGGTACACAGTTGAATGGAGAAAATATTTTGCTAATAAAACAGTCTGAGGACAGTGAAAATATCTGATCTCTAGATGTTGTAGTTTGCCTACATTTACAACTTACCCCTGGCATTGATAAAACTAGTGGAGGTGATGGAAACTAAACTCCAATAACATCTAGAGTGCCATATACGTTCTACTTCTTCTGCACAGATAAAGACTGTGGAAATCACAATCAAGTGTGATATTAAGAAGTTATTGCTCTAGTTAACATACAATAGGCATTAAGAAAAGCCATTGTTCCTTCCATTCAGTCTATGAGACTGAAAGGCATTTTCAACATTTCTTTCCAAGTCTGCACCATATGTGCAATTACTTTTGCAACATAAATATGGAATGGGATAAAAAAAAACTAAACCTGCAATCCTATGAACTCTTGTTTGACTTAAACCCTAACATATCAAATAAACAGTAGAACTTTCATCTGAATAGATATGCATAAACTCTTATTTCACATGTACTAAAAATGGTAATTTCCATGCTACCCAGAGTTTAAATCAATACTAGACCTTGCGAGAAGTATATAAACATTGGCTTACTAAAAAAACAACTCAAGAGCAAAATCTGATAATCCCATATGCTCCTACTCTGCATTCAAACCTTCTCTAGTCCTGGTTCAGTTTTAATGTGTGCTAAAGTAGAGTGAATTAAAAGACATTTTTGCATGACTAGGATATTTCTTATCTTTATAGATTTGGGAAAATATATGAGTCCTGATTAAACCAAAGATGGTTTTTTTTTTGGGGGGGGGGAGAGACAAATAAATAATTTGCGGTACTTTTGTATGATGGTGGTTCACGTGACTACTACCATACTATTAAAGAAACGTACAGAATGGAAAGCACAAGGCAAATAGTTAATATCAGTGCATTCTTTTTAATGTGTTTAGCCAGTCAGTCATTGTAATTATTATTTCAGGGGCACTTACATTAAGGCACAATATATACAATCATAAAATAACAATTCCTACATTGTGCCATTACAAATCAGCATTATGTATTCTATACTGCATCTGAAGCAGCATCGGCATAAAACATTTGGGGAAAAGTGAAATAATGGTCTTTAAAGCCCGTGAAAGTT